CCCCAAAACCCCAAAACCCCAAAACCCCAAAACCCCAAAACCCCAAAAATCTTAAAGAAAATTGAACGGCTCTACTTCTTATTAATACTCACCTCAAGCATCCTCTGCATACTCTTTCTGGTCTCAGCATCATTTCCAAACTTGAGATCCTTAAGCGGTTTAGGAAAATTCTGGGCTTTTTCCTGACTCTTGTTGCGCCTCCAACGTGATCGGGTTGATAAGTTTTGGTCCTTCCAGGAATTATTCTTTGGAGCATGTTTATTCTGAGTATGGCTACACGAAGTCTTGCTTCTAGGGTCTGAAGGGTTAACTACAGATGAATTATGAGAAAGATGACCTTCCTTAGAGGAATTAAGAAACTCCTGTACAGAGGAGGGATACATTGTCTGGCCAGAGAGCTGTCCTTTAGAGCTATTTTTAGCCATATTAGATGTTCAAAAGTTCTCATATACCGTACTGGTGGCGTACAGACTCGTGTCATACATTTTGGATGACTTCTTTTGTCTTAATTTTTCCATATTTTCGTTATATTCTGTGACGAGGGATTTTAACTTCTCATCAATTTTAGTAGAATTAAAAGCTTTTGATGGACCTGTATGCACCTCTCTAGTCAGGATCCTATTATTCTTCTTATATTCTGTTTGGACGTAGTCAAGGTTATTTCAACTTGAGCTGATTTCTCTTCTTTCGTGAGTCTATAACTATTATTCACAACATGTACTGAAGTCTAGAGGGATGGAGTTTTTGCACTTCCGAGAGATGCTCTTGGCCTTAATGCCGTAATAACTCAAATTCAGGTTATTTCAGCTTCATATTAGACCTGTCATTAGTCTCTAAAGAGTTTGCATCGGTTAGTTTATGTAATTTAGACTGAAGTTTCGGAATATTAAACTTCTCTTTCTCCCAAGATGTAGTCTTCAGAGTAAATTTATGCATGGAGGATTGACCCATGAAGCTTGATTTGGTCTTCTCAGAATCAGCCCTCTCATTCTTAAATTGATCAAAATCATTATTAGAGAGGATATAATTAATCATTGATTCCATTCATTTGGAGAAATGAGGCTTCAGGTATTTCTTGCCTTCCAAATGCTTCATTAGGGTGAAAGCCTTAACGATTTTATTTGCTGAAGTTGTGCCCGAAGACATAGCCATCCTCTAAGCATTCTGGTGTGGCCATTATGTTCTTGACCAAGGCTCCTAAGCAGTATTCAAGAAGGGAGTTGTAATTCTTTTCTAAGACCCTGGTGCCGAAGCCCCCATAGACTGACATTAAGAATTATATTCAATTACAGTTCTGAAGGAAGGGGTTTTGGGGTTTTGGGGTTTTGGGGTTTTGGGG